TTTCTTACTACACACACACACACACACACACACACACACACACACACACACACACACGTGTACGTGCACGCTCTCTCACTCCGGCGCGATGCGTCCCCTTGTGCGTTTAATGACGCAAACGCGGACCGTGAAACGCGTTAAAATCTCGATAATAATTAATGTTTGCGATATCGAATGTTTGTACGTGACGCGATTATACGAGATTAACGCGAGATGGTGTATAGCCGTAAGTTTGTTTTACAAATACTCGCGAAGCGTTACATAATCGATCCTTGCGGGGTTTGAGGATTTCTATTAGTTTACGTCACGAACGACGCTGATACTTTTATACATTACTGCGTGCTTTTTTTATATATGTATAGCTGCAGAAAGTATTTTTATACGTTTAATTTCGCGATGATATCCCCGGGAGAATCTGATCTGTTGTTTCCACGCGGACAATGCAGATGACAGACGCGATATACGATAAATAAAGGATTACTTTTGCAATTCCCACGATCAAACGTTGAAATTGGTACGTGACTGCGCGTATCTAACGGGTGGACACAATCGAGTGTGCGTGCAGGTTACTGTGGGCGATTGTAATGCTCACGCGAAAGGTAAGCGAGCGATCATAGATCGTAGATAAGTACAGTCCAGGCGCCAACATCATTTTCAGCTTCGAGAAACGTAGTCGCGGTGTTGGGGGTTGTGGGAATCTGACCGTTGTAGTTATGCAGTCAAATCATGTCATTATATCGCGGATACAATGTTGTAAATCCAAGAACGTGAAGGGAAAAAGTTAATTATTATATTAATATAAAAATGAAATGACAGGGATAATTGAAACGAAACAGAGGCGATATTAGCAATTTATTTATAAACTGATCAGTATCCATTTGAAAGAAGAAGTTTGCCAAACGTCATGTTTTTTATATATCAACATTAAAGATTCTCGATATAATAATCAGATTGAGTGAAATTTTCAGGTAGCGATAAAAAATATTTTTTAAGATTGATCGCAAATCGTACGTCAACGTCGTCGGGGAGACGTTTCTCCCTAATTAAGAAATTAATTTCGTTACGCAACAAAGTCGTCAGTTTACCTGAAGAATGATGGTTGCGCCCTTCAGTCGTGCGATAGTCCTCCGGAAAGCTACCCTCGTAATCGCGTATTTGTCTTTGGATGCGATCTTGGTCCCCGCCAATGATATTTCAGGTAATAACGCGCCTCTTTAGCCGGTGGCAATTGCCGCGACCCTGTAAACGAGTCTACTTATCTCGGGGCTGATTTACCTCCCTCGCAACGGGTTGCGCGCGTCGCCGCAACACCGCTTCCCGTTGGCAGAATGAGCAATGGTCCGAAACGGACGGGAACAGCTTGTTAATTAACTCAATTAAATTGTCAGATATTACTTTCGTTTTGCCATCCGTCCACGCCCCTCGTGTTCCCGTAATATTTCCATAATAGAAGAGGGGTCGTTATCCTCGGGCGTGTCATAAATTCGTATAATTCGGGCGTGCGCTTTATTATATAATTTTCGTTGCGGTTCCGGGTATTCCCGTGTGCCCGCTACGACGGACAATTGGAGAAAGAGCGATGTCCTCCGGCACGGCGGACTTATCGTGTTTCCGAACAGAGTCGCCGGTCCCGCCGTCGCACCAGGTGCTGGCCGTCCTCGAATTCTCGAAAACAAGAATAATTACGCGATTTCGTGGTGGCGGACGGCGAAAAGGGCCGGAAAAAGGGGTGATGGTGGTGGTGGTGGTGGTGGTGGAAAAGCTGACACCAGTTTCGCGGGCGGCAACGGTGGCGGTGGTGCGGCCATGCCGTACCTTACAGGGACAAGCGGCTTAGCCAGCCATGCCGGCGGACATAATTCATCCGGCGTAACTCGGTGTCTCTCTTCCCTGTTACCGGCAACACGTTCCAACGCACTTCGCGCGAACGGTGGAAACGGGAGGAAGTCTCTCTCTCTCTCTGCCCTTATTTATGATATTGCGCGACTGTACATTCAGATTCGGTCGCCGTTCCGCGGCGCTGCCGCCGCGGGCGCTCCGTGTACGGAAAATGGCTTTTGCCAAGGCGTTACCGAATTATTTACGAGATGGAGCACACCGGTTAGCCACCCGGGTGGCCCTCCCCAAATCTGCTCGACTCGTTGGGAGTTCATTCCTTTGGTAGTTGTTGTTGTGAACTCTGTTCCGGATTGCGCCCTTTATGCGGTCGCGATGGTCGTACGTAAACGCGGCGCGTTGGAAAGCGGATTTCACGATGGAAATCATACCGTTATCGAGATACCCCGTTTTACCGTCTTTGGATGAGAAAATACTTTCGCACTAAAAATTGTACAATTGTTGAATTTTTTAAACTGATTAACGATTAACTGATCGACCGTTGATTTTATTACTTTTCTTTGATATTTGAAAGATATCTCGATTAAAAAATTTTTTTAAATGGAAAGAGAGAGACAGAGAGATCTGAAACAAAATAATTTTTGTTAAATAAGACTAAATGGAAATATGAACTTTAATAATTCGCAAAACTTTTGCGTAAGCAAAATGCGAGAGGAGAAGGGGCGAGAGCATTTCTCCGCGAGCAAATCGAATCCAACACAAATTAGCGCCAGGGTGGGTTTACGAATCTGTCTTGTTGTCACGAGAAATAATTGCTGCGAGCATTCCCGCCGGACGAAAGGGAGGCCCTCGTCTTTTCCCGCGGGGTTATAATGCTGGGGGACGAGCCGCCCGCGGTTATTAGTTTAGGAAGCTGCAAAGTACCCCGAAACAAAGTCTCCGTCTCTCTCTGTCTCTCCACCAGGTAATCAATATACAGGCGACGACCCCTGCCTCATTTCACCTTGTCGGTTTAGCCTGAGCCACCAACGAGAGAGTCCCGGCTTACTTGTTCGGTTCGTTCCAGGCGTCCGGGATAGCCGACAGACAAGCCGTATCTTTAGCTAATAAAGCATTCCCTTCCGTTCCACCTATCCCCCCCCTCCTCCTCTTCCCTTACAGAGGGGCGACCGACCAAATTATAATACGCCTATCTCGTGTTTCTCCCCCGAAACGCTCTCAGACTTGATCGCTTTTCATCACGAAGCCGATTACGCGACCAGCATCCTCGAACATCTCTTTTTTTTTTATCGGCAGTACCCTCGAATACCTTTCCCGTATATAAACCTCTCGCTTAATGTACTTTCAATTGGGCAGTTCGCGGTTACCCCGGAGATAACAGAGTTCGGAGAAAGCGTTAACCGTATTGGACACGCTCAATTTTTTCATGCTATTTATTTGATTTATATTCTTAATAAAAATGGGAAAGAAAAGAGCGCGCTGAATGGCTAAAGGGCACGTCGTACTCATTTAAATGCACAGCGGAATATTTATCATTCTTGTCAGAGATTTTTTGAGAAACGAAATATGAAACGTAAAATCCGGCAATCTTTCTTGCATTGTATTTTTTACGGAACTTAATAAGTATGTATATCGCAATGCAGCATCTCTGATGCGTTTCGAACTTCCCGGTAATTTTTGCAGATGTCTGGCGAGCATCTGCCTTGATTATGTAGTGTTTAACCTGTAATTTATTCCACCGACAACGGTCGGACGCTCGCAATTTACGCTTTAAATTGAAATGTAAAATTATCGTAGTGCATTGGATTTCCGATTGAGGAGTCCAGAGCGAGAGTGGAATAAATCTATAATTTATCAGGTTCATTTAAAATCTGAAATTTGTAAAATTTCGCAGATTATAGCTTTATATCAGTATTATTTTGGACAATTTCACGTTTTATATACATGTACTACCAGGGATTTTGTAATTTTAATTTTTAATTCTTTATAAATAAGCGCCAGCCGAGTTGTTGCGATAACGGATAATAATGCAACTTTCGTCTAAAATCCTCAAATTAACATGAAAGAGAGGCGAGGAGAGGCGCGTGTGTGTTTCAGAAATTACGTGACGCGCGGTTGCAAGTCGCTGCGTTATTTACACAGACAATACATATTGTTGATAATAATGGAAACACAGTCGTTAGTGCCGTGAGGAAAAGGAATGACCAAGACATGTTCGCTAAGCACGGCAAACATTGCGCAATTCACGTCGCGTACGCGTCATAGTTTGTTTGCACGTTGTTAAGCCGCGGCGAGAGCTAGAGAATAATTCTGTCCATTTCTCTATTTCAGTCCAAGCAGTACGGCGCTGGGTTCGCTGGACCAACTAAAGGAATATCTGACGGCAGTGGGAACCTGCAAATGCGGCCTCGAATGCCCGCTCAGACCTGAACAAGTCTTCAACTTCGACCCCAAGGTAAGTGCGGAACCGGGAGAGATTTTTCATTACAATTTTTATTGTATTTCCAAGGGAAATCAACGCTAAGAAAATTGATCAAATGGAATTATTATTTTATATTTCCGTTACGTTAAATGAAGATTCAATATTGAATATTTAATATTCCGCCGCGCAAGAGAAGGAACGCAGTCGGTAATATCCTTGAGCTTTTATCAGACTTTCGAGTCAATACGAGCGATTTCCGCTACGAATCGCATCACCTATTATTTACTCTGAAATTATTGCGTAGTCGACGAGTCTGTCTCTGTTTGGAGGAGAGATGGAGAAAATTGAATCGTTGCATCGAAGAAACCTCTCGCTAATGAGAACCGTTAGATCAAGACACATTTTTGACATACAAATTTCAGTACCGCCGAGCCTTTCGTACATTGGCTTGATTTCTATCTCTGAAACGATGCCGCCTGACAATTCCGATTACATCTGCA